CACATCTTTAAGAGCTTGCTCTACATAACTCACTCTGCTAGCTATTCACAGAGGGAGGGAGGGAGAAGAAAACATAAGCTCTCTATCCCTGAAGAACTCCCTGTTTGAGTTCCTCCAGAGAATTACCAAATTATCCTTAATATGATAATGAGTGGTTTCTTGAACGGGGGCAACATTAGTTCCAAGACCAACTCCTCCAAGAAAAAGGGGGTTCTGTCATGAAAGATTGGAAAATCCTGCTTCTTGTACAACTAAATTGGATTTGAAGCCTAAATTAGTAAAGAACTCTGATAAGTCTTGCAATATGCAAACCTGTTTATTACCTAATACTTGTCAAACCAAGCTGAACTAAGGAATATTCCATTGAATACATTTTTGGGAAACCTGGGTTATGTGTCACCTCTTACAGAGACTATGTCTGCATTTGTCAAAAATAACTTCCGAAGGAAATGGCTATAAAGGTGGGAATCTCCCTCCTATTTCCCTCAATAAGGGAGATGCTGGAAGACGATTCCTTTGCAACCTGTCAAATCGGTATCCATCAAAAGCTACCTGTTTTGTCTGTGTACAGGATATAACATTAGAGGTCGGCCCAACTTCCTCTCTGCCATTAGCTAATCTCAAGTCAATCAAGTACATTATTTCTGGCAAAAACTGCGTTGACTCACTTGGGTCTAAAAATAATTCTTGACCATATGTGATACAACAAATATGTAATTCACCTATCTTCACCAATTATAGTGTTAGGAATTGTAATTGTTTCCCACTAATAAATACATACTCATCTGTCATGAAAAAAGAGAGACAAAATAATCCAAACTCCCTTTTTTTTTAAGTTGTGTAGAAATTCTGCCAGCATTAAACGTTCCATCACAATCTTTGGCAAATGTACACTGGCATTCATACACTTTAAATTCTAACAGATTTGGTGGGGGGAGGAGAATAGGTCCAAAATAATCATTCCAGCCTTTGAAAAAGAAAACTCTATGCTCTAAAGAATGTTTCCAAGATAGCATTTTAGCTATAAATCAGATTTAGTCCCAAAAAACAATCTTGAGCTACACGTAAAAGAATTCACATTTTAAACAAACTAATCTTAGCGCATGTTTAATTCTGGAAAGAGTGGTCTGGGAATACAAATTCCATCACTTAGACACACATTAATAAAGGTTTCTTTTATAAGTACAGCAATGATGGATATGCACCTATAGTGCCCTAAGAGGCCATATGTTTGAGTTTGAGCACATGAGTCTCTATATGTAGAAATATTTTAAAACATAAAATATAAGCAAAAGGAAGAAATCTGGGGGAGATGATCATGCCTGGCAGATATCATGTGTAATGGGAACATAGCTGAGCACATAGAATCTTCCAAGGGTGCAACCTCAACACAGAGATTCAGCATGAGCCCAGTCTTGTTTGTCCCACATCTGGGGTCCAGATTTATGATGTGTGAGAAGAATCAGTGCCAAGACCATTTGCATGTCTTTTGAGGTAACTGATACCCACAACCCTCCTCCAGTAGATTTTGCAGGTTGCCAAGGTGATATAAAATGATTAACTGACACACAGCAAACAACTAGTCAAGAATCACACTGATTTCTATGGTGTCATTACAGAACAGACACAGTCCTTGCTGATCAATTTAAAATGGAATTTTCTTTCTTTTTTGATGAATTCAAATACTAATCATCTAAGCAAATGAGTCATTTTCAGACAATAAGTCCAAGTTCAGCCCATGGCGTGGTACCAGACAAGGATGATCACAATCCCTGTCCATCACCTGCTCATCTAAATAAGTAAACCTCTGTCTGGTTTTACATAGGCATAGGCTTTATGTGGATATGTTGTTTTGTTTTAGTAGAGTCTTTCTATGATGATAACTCTATCATCAAACATCAGCTATATTTCTTTAAGTTCAGAAAAAATTTATATTAAGAAAACAAACATGACACCTCCCTTTTCCTGCAAAATAAAATGAGTATCAGTAACTTCAAAGTTGTAGACAAACAAATGAAATTGTTAAACTAATTTAAAAGAAATATTATTTCCTAAAAGCTTAATAAGAAAATGTATTTCAAGTCCCCCCAAAAAGTAGGGGGTTCTGTTAAAATATATAGGTATATGAACTATACTGAGTTGGTGAATTTTCATAATTTTTGCATTTCCTGCCTTCTTATCATCCATTCTTCAATAACCAAATCCTCTGACCTAATGTCTCTAACTCCTTTCTCCAGTTCTCCCGCACCCTCTGTGCACCATTATGCACTTTGATGCTGTCCTTCCAACTCCTGATTCTCCATTCCCCAAAAGTCAAAGACCCTCCTATATCCCTCCATAACCCAGAGCACTTGACCTAGTAGACTATCTGGGCTCTCAAAATACACCAGATGCATCCATTCCTACCTCAGAATAAAGTTATGGATGTTCCTTTGTCATTTCTCAAAATAACTTTATCTAAAGGAATTTGAAGGTTGCTTAAGAATGGGGAACACCTTATTTCTCCAAAACGGCCTAAAAAGGTAATTCACACAAGTGCTATCAAACATATATACTGATCAGACCTCTTCATTAACTAGTGTGAAAAAAGAGAAGAGGCACTAATGGAGTGGGGGATCCATTAGTCTCATGTCACCAAGCGAGAATTATAGTTTTGGTTCTCCAAGAAATGAAATATTAAACCAGTCAATCAGGAATCACCCCATGAGCCCAAGTGAGGTTACCTGCTTGGTAGACCCCAGCCTTCCCTTAAAGGAAAAAGACCTTGCAATAACCAATCTGCTTTTTGCCTCACAGAATCTCCGTGCCCCAGTTTCCTTTTACCCAGTTTCTCAGAACTCCTTTCTCTCTGGTAGATTGGGGGCCACCCGATTCATAAATCACTGAACAAAGTCAATGAGATCTTCAGATTTTACTCTGTTGAATTTTGTTTTCTAACACTAGTTCCCTGAAGATTTCTAACCTAGTTATCTCCTTACAAAAGGTGGTGGAAGAGGCACTTACCTATGTGTTCTTTTAGTGCCGGTTCATAATTTATTTCTACCTTTAAAAATACAAGAATAGATATTTTTCATATTCTATTAAAACCATGAACTTAATCTTTCCGTCATTTAACAAGGGTTTATAAAGCACACAGTTAACAAGAGTTTGCCTTTATAAAATGAATTAAATTTGTGTATTTTGTGTTTATGAGGAATAATAGATTTTATTTCAAAACACTATGCTATTCAGCTAGTGATAACTCATTTTTTCCATAATGTGTATAGAGAGAGCAGGCTGTGTGCCAGATACTGGCTGGAGCTGGGGACAGTCCTTCCCGCACATAGCTTGCAATCTAAGAGAGGGATATGAAGCCTGCTGGGCTATGCACTCTAGACATTCAAGCAAAACCATTATTGTTTTCATTTTCAAGAGCATATTGTATTCTAAGAATATTATTTAGAATTTTTTAATTTGAAACAAGACAACAAAAAGTTAACATTAGCTTTCACATAAACTCTTAAAAGTAACAAATTCTGAGGAACATCTATAGAGCAGACTAACCAAAGTTTCTAATTAAGTAGGGAGTAAGCAAATCACAAATATTTACATCAGCTTTAATCTGTTCCTAGGATATCAAGACTGGTTTTTGGAAACAATTGAAAATGAGTCATCACACTTGAATTTTTCTTTATCTCTGTATAATTTTCAGATTCGACATTCCGAATCCTGCTAAGCCATGTGGTATAAAATGCTTTCTAGGATCTGATTTTAGGAGTTTGACAGTAAATATATATATAAATCTCTTTGCTTCTATACCTGAAAGCAAGAAATATTTCCTGTTTGAAGATTTATTATTAATTAACCCCATACACTATACTTTTGAGTATCCAAGTGTCTCTATTGATCACCCATTTAAATCCCTTCTACGCTTGACTCTTAAAGATCATTATAAACCTATTCTGGCCCTGCCTGCATTGAAAATTTTTAGCCAATTTTTTTTGCTTTCTTTGTCAAAAAAAAAAAATTGAAGCACCCCTTACTGATATTATTAGAAGAGATTACTTTAACAAAACCTTGCTATCAGAAAACAGGGCTTTAGACTCATATCATGTCCAAAAAGAAAAAAGAAAAAGAAAAGTTCCAGGAACGTTTTTTAAAAATACCTCTTTATTCGTAATAAAGGTATCACATTGAACATAAAGAGTGCCTTGACATTCTCAGGAGGAAGGTGCACAAATGACTACATGGAAACAGCTGGAATGAAAAGCTGGTTTCAGACCACTCATCCCAAGTGGCTAAAGGAGAGAAAACGGAATATTCCTTTTTCCTTGGAGAGGCCTCTCGGCTGTTCCTAAATGGGAATGCCGAAGGCCACTCTCCCACCCTCGGGCCGTGTCCCCACACACCCGCGCCCGGTGCAGCCAACATGCTTCATGGTCCCTCAACAGCCACAGCGGCGCGAGCACCCAACACGCACACACAGGGGAGACACGAGCACGCAGAGCCTGGGCACCCCGCAAGCCGGCCCTCTGGAAATTAGGCAGCAAATAATGAATGACTCTCCCTCGTCGCCTCTAAATCCCTAACTGCACCTTGTGTTTCTATCCAGTCTGCCAGCAAGAGGGGCCTCCCGCCTGGCTCCCAATCATCCCCTCGGGTCTCTGCTACAGCAAAGTCGAGAGACCGCGGGCCGGGCGCGCGCGGCTGCCTTGCAGGATGCGCCCACCCGCGCCCCCTCCAGCCTCTCCGGCCTTTGCCCACCCACGGGTGGTGTAAGACTGGGGCAGGGATTGGGGCTGGGGGCGAAGAGGCGGTAGATCTGGGGACCCGGCCCACCACGGCGCCCTAGGTCTGGTTCAAGCCAATCTCCATCCCTCCGTCCACTTCCCACCTCTCACCCCAGACGCCCTTTTCGGAAGGCACCCCAGGGCCCACCTCTCCGGCCTCCCCGGCGCGCCTGTCCAAGCCCCGCGGCCCCGCGGGCCGCCCCCCGGGAGAGCGGGGTGCAGCGCCCTTACCAGGCTCGTGGACGCCGGGGTTGTCCGACAGCTCGATGACCAGGAGCTCCCGGCCCTCGAAGCTGCGCCCCACCGTGTAGATCCTGCTGATGGCGGTGCACTGCAGCCACACGGACACCAGCGCCTCGCGCAGCTCCGGGTAGCGGTGGTACTCGAAGGAGATGCCGTCCTCCTGCTGCAGCCGCCGGCGCCGCCTCAGGCCCGCCGCGGGCGCCCCGGGCTCCTGCGCCCCGGCGCCCAGCAGCCACCCGCAGGCGGCCAGCGCCCCGCACAGCGCCAGCAGCGCCCGGCCTCCGCGCCCGGCCATCGCGCCGGCGGCCTCTTTTGTCTTCCCGGCTCCGGGGCCGAGCTCGGGCGCGACTGGGGGGCGGCAAGGTCCGCAGCAGCCCGCGCGCCTCACCTTCCCGAGGAGCGAGTGTCAGCCTGCGCGCGGGGGCCGCCCAGAGGACAGGGGCGCAGCGGCGGCGCGGGCTGCACTACTGGCCGCCGAGCCCAGGGGAGCTGCAGGAGAAACCACTGCGAGCAGGGGCGGGCGCCGGAGGCGAGCGCCAGCCCGGGGGCAGCCGCCCGCACGGCGGGTGTTATTTGTGAGCTCAGAACCTCGTCAAAAGCCAGGTGACGCCCGGGGCGCGCAGGTGGAAGGACAGCGCAGGTCTGGGTTGGGGAACGCGGTTGTCATTGAGAGACCCGTGACCCCTGCCTATGGAAAAACATATTCTTGGGTTGCTAGTGGAGCCTTTTACAGTGACATCTATACCAAGCCCACCCCGGTTTCCATCTTGATGCGCCAAGAATTGGAGAAGAGTCCAGGAAAGAAAGGAAATTTAGCGACCACTTGCCTAACTGTACTGCTAGTCCGAACACAAAGCAAAAGGTGACATTTCCATCTATTGACGAGGCTGGCTGGTGCACTGTGATGTAGGTTTGCGAGAATAAAAATGTAATCATCATTTCACAGACACTCTCTTTCATTGTACTTATGCACATGCCTGTATTCCAGGGAGGGAAAAAGAAAAGGTAAGGCGATGCCATATGGTAGTATTATTTCAACCCCCTTTTGGAAGGCCTGTAGGGAAAATCAAGTACAATTTTAGGGATGCATTAGACAAAGGATCTAGTTTGGCACTAAGATGAACTCTTGCAGGAATTTACGCGGGTGATTTTGGCTCAGGGTCTCTTATGAGATTGCAACTGAGGTATTGGCCACCACTATAGACATCTGAAAACTTGGCTGAGGCTGGAGACTGCTTCCAAGAGAAAAAAAGAAAGAAGATTAAATCCTGCTATTGAACAAAAACTCTGATCATGACAAAGAACATCTACTTTGTCCCCACACAAAGTTAGGTAAAAATTTAAATCAGGTACAGCTTTAAATACGCAGATGATTTAGATGGAATTTATATTTCTGGAGAAACTCTGGAGCAGATGCTATTCTGTAGAGGTTGCCTTTTGGATTCAAGAATCACACTAAATAAATCTGAGTAAATAATAAATCTAAATACATAACCCACTAGGTATTCCAACCAAATAGAAAAACTGGACACCATCTGGGTAATTTTTCATGTTAGGCATTTTTTTTTTTCCTAAACTTGCTCTTTCTTCACTTAACAATACATGGCACTGAATAAAAACTCTTCTGGAAACAGATCCAGATATTTAAATGATGTGTTGGACTTTAAAAAATGCTTCTAGAGAGGCTGGCTCCAAAATCTTCCAACTGTCTACACTTCCTACAGCTGCATGAATCTTCTCTTTGGGGTTTTTAGGGAAAACTGCCACTATAAAGACATGCCACGCAATTGAGTTTGGATTCAGCCATAGTCCTTGTCAGAGTAAGCAAAGTTAAGAACTGTCTATTTTTCACTACGTCCAATCTGTGTTTGATTACATGGCCCAGTAGTTTGAAACCAGAGTTATAATTACATTTCTAAAATCATCCCCAAAAGAGCAACCTTGGAAGCCTAGAAAAAGAAAACAGAGTAGCTAAAACCAATAACTTCAGAAGTGGAAGGCTAAGGTCTTCATGTTAGCAATTTCAGATAACCACACTAATTTGTGGTTAGGTGGGGCATATATACTAGGAACTACACACATGGACAACATGTTATTCATTGCAATCCTGTGCTGACTTTTATCTGTCTCTTTAAACAAAGGATGTCTTCTATTTTCTCGCAAATCTCAGTTTTACTGGTTGTTTTTACTATCTTTTCTAATGGGTGAAATTCTCCCACCTATGTGGTCTCACTTGGGGTGGGGGGCCTCTTTGCACCCTCAATGTCTGTCTTCCTCATCTATAAAACAAAAGAAAGGGTTTGGGTAAGACTACTCATTCAAATATAGCAGAATCATCTGGAAGTTTGTAGAATGTGCCAATCACCAAATCCCACCAGATTTGTCTGAGATGGGTCCCAGGTTTTAACAAGATTCCAGGTCTTAACAAGAATTCGGGGTATTTCAGATTTTGACATTTATGGACAAACATCCTTTGAGAACTACTGTCCCATGTTTTCCTGGATCTCCTTCAGATCTAAAATGTTATAGTTCTGGAAATTTTCTTTATTAAAAAAATCTTGGATGGTAGAGCTCCTCCTCTGTTATTGGACAAACCACACCCGTCAAGGAATCAGTTCAAAGGAAGTGAAACTTGGCCTTGAATTTCTGGCCTATTTGAGATATAAGTCAGCTGGACTGGAGCATAAATTACTTGTTTGTGACTTTATAGGTAACCATGGAAAAAGTTATGCCATCTTCATTGATAAACAGACAATCTTGCATGCCAAGATGTTAATGTGTTTAGCTGTGTGTAACCATAGTTACATCTAGTACATAACCCACATTTTATTTTCCTTTATGTATGTATTTATTTATTATTTGTGGGACCAGGGATCGAACTGGTGCTGCAGAGGCTACAGGCAGCCTCGCAACCCAGTGCTCAACCTCTGCACCACCAGGGGAGGCCCACATAACCCACATTTTAAATTGTGTGTGTGGATGCACCTGCAAGCAAAAAAGAGAGATAGAAGAGAGTGGTCTTTTTATCCTGCCACATCTGAACTCCTGTAAGGACATATTTATGCTCTCCAACTTCCACTTTCAGCTTTGCCTCTACTGTTTTCAAATCCAGGTATGAGGTGCCTCCCTGGTAGTGCAGGGGTTAACGTCTCAGTGCTATCAAATTATAGATAGCCACTGAGGCAAGAGCTCAATCCTCAGCCAGGAAGATGACCCACATGGCGCAGAAGACCTCTCCTGTCTTGCCTGCTGCTCCCCTTAGCAGTGTATTTCAGTAAATATACCTGTTCTGTGTGGCTCAGCAGTTGAGCGCTGGGTTGTGAGGCTGCTGCAGCACCAGTTCGATCCCCGGCCACCGGAGAGGGTCCCACAAAAAAAAAAAAATAAATATATATATATATATATATATATATATATATATATCTGTTCTGCTCCCCACTCTGTCTCTGGTGAATCTTCTCACCAATGTACCCTTGGCCTACACCCCAGTTCTTGTATGCATAAATAAGTCTTTTTTTAAAAAAAAAATCCAGGTACAAGCTCTTCAAATATACCAAAACTTTTATCCCTCCTTCTAATATATAATGAAATATGTTTTATACTGTCTTCAAATTCTAACTTTTCTATTATAATCAATATTCATATTTACTTGGAACTTTAACACACTTGTAAAAGTCTTGATTCTGGCTTCTCTCTCCCCCCCCCAAAAAACCCCCTGTTTTTCACCCAATATACTTCATCACAGAAATGGCTTCATTATCTATTCATTCAATACAATTCCAATTTATCCATTAAATTTTTCCCTTTACCCCATGCCCCACATTAGCAATTTCTATCAGTCCTATTTTCAACATATATGCATTTATATAGAATCTGCCTCTTCTGGCCATAGCCACTGTCACTACCCTAATTTAAGTCAGCAACTTTTCATACAAGAGTCATTGCAATCTCCTTCAAATACTCCTACACCTGTTCACCTAGAATTTATTATTTACATAGCAACCCATTTTCAAAATTTATATCAGATTATATCACTCCCTTACTGAAAAATTTCTCGCAGCTTTCCAATATATTTGGAATAAATTCCCAACTTCTCACAATGCACAGTCTTGTGGAATCTGTCTCCAGCCTGCCTCTCTCATGTTCTCCAGAGTTCTCTGAGGTGCTCCTTGTGTCATAGGCACTCCCAGGCACTGCCTGTCTTACCTTCCCATTCTTTCCCTTTATCATACTCATCACAAAACGATGTTTCTTTACTTGTTGCTCTCTTTTCCCTCTAGAAGGTAAACGCCCTGAGGCTAGCTTCCCACCACAAGTCTAACCCAGAAGAGTCTCAATATATACCTGTTGGAAACACAGGTCTTTATGCCTTTAACGATTTCAAGAAATAGCTTTGAAACATCCCACCTACATTTAAAAGAATATCATTCCCAAAAGCCTTAATATCTAAAATCTTTGAAGTACACATGTACTAATTATTGGCTTTAATCTACCTTGTTACCACATTTTACAGTGAAAGCACCACAGTATTTTTTGGACATAATGCTTTCAATACAGTCATTCCTTCAAACTTTTACTTAGCACCTGCTGAATGCCATGGCCTTGGTAGTTACTTGGTGGGATGTGCTGGTGAGGAATATGCAATTGACCAACCTGTGGTTCTTGCCTGAGAGCTACTAGCTCATCCTCCAGTCTAGACCCACAAGATTGACTGGTCCAGCAATGTATGTTGTCTTGTGAGAACCAATCACCATGCATAGGGGAATTTATTGCAATTGGGATTTAGCAGAATTGAAGTCTAGGAAAAACAGGTGCTATTTAATAAGTGATTTGTTGAGCATTTTAAGCATTTTGTAAACAATATACAATAAATAACTAGTCACTAGGTTGGTTAAACTCACAGATTCAGCACATAGCATCCTCTAGCACCTGGGAATCCTCTTGTGGCAGGAATGTTACCCAATGTACTGAGTCATTAATTCTTCCTGATGGGGTAGAGAAATTATGTTCAACTGCCATGTTGTCAAAATGATCTCACGAAGCATTCTTCTAAGCCTCAGTGTTTCACTCTCTGCCTCAGCAAATTATTATTTGAACTCCTTGATTTTGCTTCTATTTTATTGAATGCTTCCAGAAACCCTAACATCCCAGCGACTGTGTCTTTTTTATTCTGGTTTCACATTTTATCTTCTTATCTGGTTCAGGCTGTGCTGTGCAACCATCCCAGGCTGGGAAGGTTCTTTGCTGATTTGGGCAGAGAAGAAGAGAATTTTGGAGCCTTTGGTATCTCTAATAAGCCTTTTTTTTTTA